AGAATGTGTTCATGGTGTGATTAATAGGACGGACGCAAGGACGGGGTTGAGTGGTGGTATTGAAAGAGTGGAAAGCTTTGTTTACTTAGGGGATAAGCTGAACGCGGATGGAGGATGTTTGAGCGCAGTTACGGCTAGAGTTCGTGTGGGATGGATAAAATTTAAGGAACTGGGTGGGGTATTGTGTGGAAAGAAATGATCAGTGAAGATGAAAGGGAGAGTATATAAAGCATGTGTGAGAGCAGCGATGGTATATGGTGGTGAAACTTGGGTGTTGAGGAGAGAGGAGGAAAGTGTACTGCAAAGGGCTGAAAGAGCTATGGTGAGGATGATGTGTGGGGTTAAAGTGAAGGATAGGAGGAGTAGTACAGAGCTGATGTCAATGATGGGACTGAATGAGGACATTGTGACATTGATAAGGAGATCGAGATTGCGGTGGTATGGACATGTGTTGAGAAGGGATGAAAGGGTAGGGATTAGGCGAGCGTTGGAGTTCGAGGTTGAAGGAGTGGTAGGAAGGGGTCGTCCGCGATTGGGATGGAGAGAGCAGGTGGAGAAGGACAGGGTGAAAGCGGGATTGCGTGTTACTGAGGCGAGTGACAGATGTGGATGGCGTCGAGGGGTATTTCGGTTTCATCATAGGTAGCCAAACGGCAACCCCCGATCTCGGGGAAAATGTCGTCTAAACGTGTGTTGTTGTTGTATATAAATTTTATCTATTTATAAATTATAAATATTTTATTATTTATATATTATATATGTATTATATATATATATATATATATATATATATATATATATATATATATATATATATATATATATATAATCTATTTTTTAATATCTAATATATACGTTTAAAATTAAAATCTATTTTAACTTGAATAAAATAAATAAATAATACTTCTAAATTTTATTGTGAGACGTGTTCTTATTCTAATACACTATCAGTTATCAAATGACAGAAAGAAAATTCCCGCAAACTTGTTTCGAGAGCAAAAAATTAATGACTAAAATGAAATTTGTAATATTCAGCCTAAAAATAGCTGAAGCCAAATGTCAAATTTCGGCCATCGTTGCGTCTTTAATTCTTTGCTTCCAAGCTAAATCATTTACAAAAAATTACAAACACAACGAATAAAAACTATTGCAATTAAATCAAATAGATCGATAAAAACCTGAATATTGGGCATCCATGGATAAATGTGACTTGAAAGGTACATTGGGGTACAAATGAAAGTCATTAATCAATTTTTCATACGAATGCATATAAAAAAAAGATGTAAAATTTCTTTGATATAATTGTGATTTCACAGGTGATTCAAATGGCCCAAGTACTTCATCTGTTTCAGATGTTTCGATAGTTACCGGTTTAAATATTGGTTTATAGTCATCAAAGTAATTATATGAATTTTCATCTTTTGAGACAAGTGGTGGTATTTGAACTCTAGTTCTAACTGCAGCAAGAAGCGAATCAGTAAATCTGTTGATAGATGAAAAATATGTCTCATATATTCTTCTGCCTCTACTTCTCATTTCTAATATATCTTCATCAACTGTAAAATAAAAATCAATGCAAATGAAAAAGTTTTATACTGAAAGAAATAAAATTATTCAATAATAGTCAATTTCTATTTCGCTTGCCATTTATTCAGATAAGTATAAATAGAAATTATTAGTTTTAAAATAGATTTCACACGTTTCTGTCAGATTTTTGTGTTAGATGAAGATCAAAAGGATTTTATAAGGTTATTTCTAAAATGATCTGTCCAAATAAAATCATTAGTGATATAATAAAAATGTTAAAAAGGCCATTGTAGAAATTTCAAACGTTTCAATTAAAATTGTAAAATTATTGTAATTGTTGTTAAAATTTGATTAAAGATTGTGAGAGTATTTGTTGGCTTTGCACTCTTTTGATTTAGCAGTTTGTTTTGTGGAATATTGTTAATTCTAAAATTTCGAATGTGTGTTCGTTTATCAGGGCAATATCAGAACGAAATGACTCGAAAAGTGTTGAAACTGGGCGGCAATTTTAATAATCTAAGTCAAGCAAAAGCAGACGGTTGTTTTTTTCTTTTTTGGAGCGCTGCTTCCAGACATTCTAGAAACGACACTTTGGGCGCCCTGTTTTAGTTCTCTCAACTAGTTTGCTGTATAAGAGGTCGCTGAAACGTCAATAAATTCCAAAACATCAGGACATAGCAAGGTTCGTTTGAGTGGGGCAACTTTAACGATGACTTCATTTTATATTTTATGTTATTTTCTTCTAAATTTCAGTAACAATGTTAATAATTGTTAATAATAGTTATAAAAATTAAACCTTTTGTTTTTCAATTTGAAATAGATTTTTAACAATCAACCCTAATATTTCGTTCAAACCACAATGACATAGACTGTTCGTGAGTTTCAGATGAAGCATGTTTGTAAAACCCAGCTTTTGATTTCTCTAATGCAGCTTTCCAATTTTGAAATGCTTCCTTTGTATAAATTTCCTCTTTAGAAAATGAAACAAATTGACAACATGTATAACGAAATGCAGTGTCATAGTCACCCCACACCTGAACTAAGCTGCTTGGATATCTGAGTCTCGATTATAACGGATGTGTAGCGTCATTGCTTCTAGCAAAGCTCATAATAAGAAAAATACAATAAGGTAAAGCCAGTATGAAATACCATGTTCAAAATCTATTGTACAAATTTTATTAGCCAAGAGATGTCACCATTGAATTTTACTTTGATATTGCTCTAACATTATTTCCGTTATAATGTTAGAGCACTGGAGGCAAGAGCAGCATTGACTTGTATTATATTTTATAGATGAAGATATCCAGCATCAGGTCACGGATTACATAATGGAGCAAATGTTTGCAGGTCAACGATCAAGTAGTATAGTTTAGTTCCTGTGAGATTCAATATTTCTGTGCAACCAAAATAAAAAAAATTGTGTGTAATTTGTAAATGGTATATTAAAAAATTATAAAAAATGCTAAACAGCTGCAGATATATAACGAAGATCAATTTATTAAAAATTTCAGGGACTGGACTGAATATTATGTCTTGGCACAAAAAGCCTTATTTGGCCATGGAGTTTAGGCAATGAATTAAAACGCTCTTATTGTCTAATCTTCAAAAAATAATATTTTAAACAAAAATTGACAATTTTCTTTGCTTATACCACTTTTTTACGTTTCTTTTAATTTTAAGGTCTTTTGCTATATTTGTGACAGCATGGTCAGTGAAAATGCAAAAAAATTATTTTGAAAAAGAGAAAGTTGTAATTAAGATATTTTCAATATTTATTGTGAAGAACCATTTTTGTGGAGACCCCTCGAGATGTTATCCGCCTGTCCTCTACTAAATGCAGCCCTGAATAATGTAGAAAAATTTTTCGACAGCCTGCAAACCAAAATTAAAAAATTAAGAGGAAAATAGACCCATATGCAGTAACTCAAACATTGCAGCTGATGGTAATTTTGACTTGTTTATTTTTTAAAATAGCACATTTTTTTGTTTTATGAAATAAATTTTTGGGTTGTAATTTTAAGTAATAATGACAATTTTACTCTCCTTTTCAATTTAATAGTAATTTATTTAGTAAGTCTAGCTTTCTGGAACTGTGAGAATCTGAGATTATTTCAGATGACTTAAAGATTTGTGTATATAAAAGAACAGAATAAACCATTTTAAATATTTTATATCATTTTTATGCCAACTAAATTGGATTTTAAAGATAAACAATAAACATAGAATAAATAATACTGTATATATACAAAATGACTCACCAACTGATCTGATTACATAGTGTAACTCAGTAATGCGTGCCACTGAGAGCCACAAAATAGATCCAGACCAATAGATTAAATTGGCAAATGGAAGTTCAACATCATTTTCAGCTGCTAAAATTATAGGAATAGCTCCAGATCTTAAAGATTCTAACAAACGAATTTGTAGTGTAGATGTGGACAGTGTAAAATCTACTTCATTTGTTATAAGGTCGCCAATTAAAATCAATGAAAATGTAGATTGCTCTAAAATGGTAAGTCTTTCAAACTGGTTACCACAGATCAACATTTCATTATGTATATGTGAGACTTTTTCATCAACTCTACATTCAAAATCAAATGAGAAGCCATCCCTTTGAAACTTTTGTTGCATATCACTAAGAACTGTAATTATCTTTTTGTATAAATCCATATTTTTGCTTCCATCATTTTGTGTCAGAGCTCCAGAAAAAGTTAATAGATATTTTCTTTTGACTGGGACCATCATAGGTAAAAACTTATTTTCATCATATTGTTGTAATAAAATTAATTCATTAATTGGAGGAATAACAAAATCAAAACCTTTTCTAAACAATGACTTTTTGAAAAAACTTTGAACAATGATAGATTTTTTGAACAAGCTAAAATGATATGAGAATGTCCTATTACTTGATGAATTTGTTTGTAAATTGACTATTACATGATTTAATCCACAGTGAAGTTCATTTGTATGATGCCAGTGGCTTAGAAATAACAGTTCATCATCAAAAATGTCACTATTGTCTATCAAATGAATAAATACACATGCTTCCTTAGGTTTGAAGGTTATGTGATTGCTTAGTAACAAATATTTTTTAAGATTCAATTGAGAAGATGAAATTGTAGAAGAAAAGGATGAATTATAAATAAAAACTGGAAATTGAGAAAACAAGGAACATCTGGAATAATCAAAACAAGTACTCATGCTACAATGTTTGAAAACGGATAGTCGTGTGGTTGGAGTCATATCAGCGAAAGAATTTATAAAATCACTATCTTGAATTTCATTGACCAGCTGGTGAGATAAAATTTTAAGTGGGTATGACAAAGAAGGTTGATTATTTTTTTTCATATCCTCCAACTGAACATATAAGCTTTTTAAATTTAGTTTCATATTTTCAACTTTATTATTTTCGACATCATAACTAGTTTTTAAATAGTCAAGATTTCCATTTAAATTGACAATTTCAGCCAGCAAATGCTTTCTTTGTTTCTCAAGTGATAAAAGTTCTTTATTAACCGATAACTTGATCTTTTCAAGTTCTTCAATTTGATCATTATTATGACCATTGAGTATTTCAATTTCCTGATACACTTTATTGTTATAAATGCTTTCAAAATCAGATGATTTGACATTTTCCATAACAATATGATAGTTGGATAAATAGTAATGAAATAAACAAAACAGCAACACCAACATGAAAAGAATTGAACATAGCAAACATGGGAGACCACGATTAGGATGCCTCAACCAAATGAAAAAATTACCATTAGAGTTACTATTATTATTATTACCCAATTTAGTTAAGACGTCCTTCATATTTGAAACTTAAAAACTTAGTTTAATTTAAATATTGACGACATTCATGTATTGCATATTTATTATTTATATTAGGTAACATAAATCAAAGTAAACATTTTTTTTAGTATAAACACCAGCTAGGTAAGAAATACAAAAATCTTTATGAAGTGGACAGACCGTCTTTAAAGTTTAAATATATAGAAATGTTTGAAGTGTTTGATCATCCACAAAACTTGCATGGAGTAAATTTTTAATTTTACCATCGTTAGAACAGCTGACTTTACCTTTTATATTTTTTTTCCTACAAGTTTGACTTAAGCTCTTTTTTTTTTATTTGTCATGTTACTTGTACTTGTTGTTCAATTCAAATCAGATAACTTGCTTCTTGATCTTGAGTGAAGCAGAGACAACAACATTTTATTATTTGATTATGATTATATTTCAATAAAAAATAACTAAATGAAAAATCTTCAGTTTTTTCTTCCCAAGTAGCTAGTTTTTTCTTCCCAAGTAGCTAGTTTTTCTTATCACAATACAATTTTTTACTGAACATTAATAAATTAAATTAAATTATTAAAATTAAATAGGTTGAACATTGAACCATGATTGAAGACTGAACACCCACACACAACAAACACCAGATTTCTATCAAAAATCAACGAAAACAAAAAACAATTATATCAGAATTAAACAAATAAATTTCATTATTTTTGTAATCGAAACAAGAATTATTTATAAAATAATTAAAAATATACGTCCCACTATCAGCGCCTTATTTATAAAATAAAAGAGTGCGTGAAGTTAGCCAAGGATTGAAAAGTATTTCAAATTAAGCGCTTGCTTAATAAAACTTAAAAAACCATTTACGCTTCAGATATTTCGATAGTTACCGGTTTAAATCAAAGTAATTATATGAATTTTCATCTTTTGAGACAAGTGGTGGTATTTGAACTCTAGTTCTAACTGCAGCAAGAAGCGAATCAGTAAATCTGTTGATAGATGAAAAATATGTCTCATATATTCTTCTGCCTCTACTTCTCATTTCTAATATATCTTCATCAACTGTAAAATAAAAATCAATGCAAATAAAAAAGTTTTATACTGAAAGAAATAAAATTATTCAATAATAGTCAATTTCTATTTCGCTTGCCATTTATTCAGATAAGTATAAATAGAAATTATTAGTTTTAAAATAGATTTCACACGTTTCTGTCAGTTTTTTGTGTTAGATGAAGATCAAAAGGATTTTATAAGGTTATTTCTAAAATGATCTGTCCAAATAAAATCATTAGTGATATAATAAAAATGCTAAAAAGGCCATTGTAGAAATTTCAAACGTTTCAATTAAAATTGTAAAATTATTGTAATTGTTGTTAAAATTTGATTAAAGATTGTGAGAGTATTTGTTGGCTTTGCACTCTTTTGATTTAGCAGTTTGTTTTGTGGAATATTGTTAATTCTAAAATTTCGAATGTGTGTTCGTTTATCAGGGCAATATCAGAACGAAATGACTCGATATTGTTAAATTGACCTTGATGTTAAATATATAAGCAAAATTTGTCTATAGTGAGACGTTATAAAATTGTATAATAAAAACAAATTGTAAAATATATAAAAATTTGTCTATAGTGAGACGTTTGATCGTAAAAAATCATTAAAATGTCAACTACTACGAAAAAATGTTTAATGTTTACGCGTTTAATTCCATAGAACTAAGAAAAATTATTAGGCAGGTAACAATTATTATGCCATATCCATTATATCCTTGAGGTTACATAGCAAATAAACTGTATTGTTTTTTAACAAAAAATTAATATAGCATATTTGAAAAAAAACTACTTATGAAATTTTTCAGCGTTAATTAAAATGTACAAAATAATTATTAAAAAGGACAAAAAACGTATCTTGCTAAAAAATTTAAAAAACTAGCTATCGAACAAAATTTTTTAAAATGTTGTTTAGTCGGTGAGGATGATGTGTGGGGTTAAAGTGAAGGATAGGAGGAGTAGTACAGAGCTGATGTCAATGATGGGACCGAATGAGGACATTGTGACATTGATAAGGAGATCGAGATTGCGGTGGTATGGACATGTGTTGAAAAGGGATGAAAGGGTCGGGATTAGGCGAGCGTTGGAGTTCGAGGTTGAAGGAGTGATAGGAAGGGGTCGTCCGCGATTGGGATGAAGAGAGCAGGTGGAGAAGGACAGAGTGAAAGCGGGGTTGCGTGATACTGAGGCGAGTGACAGATGTGAATGGCGTCGAAGGGTATTTCGGTTTCATCATAGGTAGCCAAACGGCAACCCCCGATCTAGGAGAAAATATCGCCTAAACGTGTGTTGTTGTTTAGTCGGTAGTCGAAATGAAAACAGAGTTGTCTACAGAAATGTATTTCGTTTTTAAATAGAACAATTTTATCATATATTTATATTTTTCTATTTAATGAAAAACATTAAACAAACTAGGGCGTTTATAGATTGCACACTAACGAATTGTTAAAAATCTAGTAACTAAATCTTCAATGACATGAATGAAGTACATTGACATTTTTTTGTAATTGTTATAGTGTAGTATGCATAGTGTCTGCATTCTATAAATTCTACCGAATGTTTGGCGTTAATATGTTTGTAGTTCGTTGTGGAATTGTTGTTCATAGAATATTGTAAAAATTATAGTCTATTACCAACATTTACTCGAAGTTCTGCGACCAACCGACTTAATCTAACAATTGAAAACGAACTACAAACATATTATCGCCAAACATTCGGTATACAAAATGTATAGAATATTGTAATATATATATATATATCTGTTGGCGCTATTAAGGTTAGCAAACGGTCTTATAAATTTTCTATATAAAAACAATGCGATTTAATAAAATTATTCAATGCTAATTTTTATTAAATTTTTCTAATATCGTCGCAATTGCTGAGAAACTTTTAAAAAAAGTGAGAACGGAGAGAAGAATTGTTTAGATTAAAAAACTCATCTATTTGGCTAAAACAAAAATATTCGCAAATGATATTTTGAAACAAACAATATATGTTGAACAATCAGCTACAAAGTATAACAGTACTTCCGACTCACAAACAGTTATCTAAACTAATTAATAATTCTCACACCACCAATAACAACAATAACAACCACGTTACCACCACCAACAATCATGTTACTACCAACAACAATGTTAACCATGTTAGAGATGCTAACGACCATGACAAAAACACCAACAATAATGTTAATAATTGCAGCAACAACACCAATACTAATGTTAACAACAACAACATCATCATTGTTAATAACAACAACAACAATAAAAACAACAACAACAATAACAATAGTAATAATAATGATATTAACGATGACAATGATAAAAATATAAACTTGGAAACATGAATATTGTAGTATGATGATATGGCTGACATTTGCTTTTTATTTTGTTGATTTACTTTATGGTCGTTTTTTCAGCAATTTTTAAAATTTTAATTTATTTTGTTTAATTCTAATATATATCTTTGTAAATAATTTAAAGTTAATTTTATCAATATGTTGAATATATAGTATATAATAACTAATAATAATATTTTCAAAATGTTTCGTGCTTGAAATTAAGTTATACTGTATGACGTCATTTGTTTATAAACGGTAATTTTCGTTATTTAAAAATATTTTGCACTGACGATGATATATTTTATATAGAAGTTATTACATCATACCTCACAATCAATGTTGGGTACATTTTTGACACCACCTAACAGCTATATATGCAAAAGCATTTTCTGTCAATGCTTCAACTGATGTTAAAGAAAAATTGTACCTTTTTTTTGAAAAAACAAGCAAAGCGTACGAAAAAAGACATAGTTGGTGCCTCATGTATTAAAAACAACAAAAATGAGATGGTTCTTGAACATGATGAGATCAAGCTACAGTGGAGAGAATACTTCAACCGTCTGTTAAACGAAACAAATCCTATCAATGTTAACTTTGACGCTCCACCCATCGAAGGTCCGATTTCAGACATCACTGTAGAGGAGCTTACAGAAGCTCTGAAAGCTATGAAGGATGGAAAGGCAGCAAGGCCCTCGGAACTCACAAATGACATTATCAAAGCATCTGGTACTGCAGGTATCCAAACGTTACTACAACTTTGTCGTGAAATCTGGAGAAATTGCTCAATGCCGACTGAATGGAACTATAGCATGACAGTCCCGCTATACAAAAGCAAAGGTGATCCATTGAGCTTTTTATCATATCGGGGCATACGTCTGTTAGAACACTCCCTGAAAATTGTTGAGAAAATCATTGAGAGAAGATTAACGTCGTGCATCACAATCGGAAATTATCAATTTGGTTTCCTAGCGGGGAAACCAACAATTGATGCAATTCACATCCTTCGGCAACTGCAAGAGAAGTACCTCGCAAAGCATCAACAACTATCACACATTTTTGTAGACCTTGAAAAAGCATTTGATCGAGTTCCCCCGTGAAGCAATCAGGTGGAGTCTACGTCGACAACTCATTCCAGAATTTCTTAGCAAAGAAAACAACCGGGTCTCTGGACGCAAAACGAAGATAGATTGATTGATTCTATAAACATTTCCTATTTTGTTTAAACTGAAATAAATAGAAATAAAAAACTTTTCAGACTTATCCAAAGCTTCACTCAGTCATATGTTCTTGTACAGATTATATGACGTCATGTACCACATTCAAGAACACCAAAGTGCACGAGCAGAGAAAAATCGCTTAAGCAGACAGGCTAGCTTCAATCCAAGACGACAATGGCATTGATTGTTAAAGCGACTTAACAATCTAAGAAGGGAGCAATGTTGTATTCAGAAATGATTATCCTACAATTGAATTATGAATATGTTTATTTTTTGTTTTATTTTCCATGATTTTAAGCCTTTGTGTCCACCATTTCTTACGACCATTGAGAGAAACGGAGTATTTGATAAAAGGGAGATAAAAATTGGATTATTGAGTTCAATTGCGAGTTACTGGCGATCGAGCGAATAACTCTATCACAGATTCTATTACTGTTGACACGCAAGTTTGTTTGAAGCAGTTGCGTTTATCTCTTTCATAAATTAGTGAAACTACGGTAGATTGGATAACTTGACGACAGTGCGAGTTACGACAGTTGTAAAAAATTTATCAATATTTATACTTCAGTTACAATATCAAACAGGAAATGTTTTTAAAAAGGCAAGAATACTGAGCCAAATTATTCATACTCAATCTTCTTTAGTGGTTTAAATCAGTGTGTGGAGTCAGATGTCGAATGAAAAATATCCGACCCCCGATAAAAATTTTCAACGTCGAGTTCCGACTTCCAGAAAAATTTACACCTTTTTAATACCTACAAAATAAAAATACTTTAAAAAATCACTTGAAATCAGTCGATGTCATTGTTTTTCTTAGTAAAATGACTTTATTTTAATGTTTTACAACATGCGGAGAAAAATTATTTATTATAGTACCAAAGATGATTGCTTATTGCTATACACATTTATTTTCTAAAAAAAGCAATCTCAAAAAAAAATTTCTGAAATTTTTTTTTAAATAAATTACATTTTCCAGAGTAGGATAAAATATTTCGACTCTGGCCCCTTACAAAAATTTGACTCCGACTTTCTTGTTTTAATCATCTTTTTTTCTTCAGAAAAAGTTTTTTGCTTAGCAACAAAAACTTCAAATTAAAATTTTTTGCTTGGTCATTGCGACACTTGAATAAATGAAAACATAACAACGTTATTTAACATTTTTTAACCGATATGATGATTGTGCATTTAAAAATAAATAATTAGTTCAAAAGAATAGTTGAACATAGAAATTTGTAACATAGAAAATACACAATCAAAATTTAAAAATTGAACAACACTACAAAAGACAAAGTTAAAATATTATGTGAGAGATTTAAATGTCACTTCGCCACAGTTTGATTGTTTTATCATTTTCGAGAGCTGCCGAAGCAATTATGTTCTCTGTAGGATGACAAGCACAGCAGAGCACCACATCTAAACATGTATGAAAAAAGTTTAAATAGATGACAATTTAAAACCAAAGTTATGAAATATGTTTTGACTTTTAAGTATTTTGAGTCCATTAGAATTAGAGTGTTATCATTGTGATGACTTATACAAGAACAAACGACAACAAACAATGAATGAGTGTGTGAAAATTATTTTAATGCATAAATATTTCTAATTATCGTATAGTAAACTTGTTCAAGTCATCAATTTAAATTATTACAAATTTTGTAACTCATATAATCTAACGATGGGGTTAGTACGTAGGCATCAAGTACCGCCAAGATAGCGTAACACCGTATGCGAAAACCAGCGTCAACATAACATCACACTTTAATAACATTACCGTGATCATTGATGAAAAGATGACGAGTAACTGAACAACGGTAAACTATTATAATTCGATCAATAAGACTCAGTCTACTGCAGAAAGATATTTTCATTTAAATCAAATTTACCTGAATGACCCACTAATTTTTGAACCACTTCTTTAGTTTGTAAATTCCATATATACACGAGGTTGTCTTCTGAACCAGAAACAATCCACTGTTATAAAAAAAATGTAAACACGCATATAAAACTTTAAAAATAAGCGAAAATTAATGAAAATTTAAACAAAATATCTAAGAAACCAATACAACATAAATTTTGAAACCGCTAAAAAAGTTATCTGAATAGACTTTTCGAATGCAAATTAAACTTTTTATTAAAATTCAGTTTATGTCAATGAAATATAAAGGCTTGAGCTTGGAAAGAAATTTTTCTTTATTTGGCATTAAAGCAAATAGGTAAAAAACTAATTATATATAGTTATTACTGAATCAAAAGCCTGTAAAAACTCAATCACGTACCATAATCGAATCATTTGCAGCTTTACACTGCCAATACAGTCTGGCAACTGCCAGTACTGTACTGGCAATTATGATAAGTGGGACAAATGCGGCCGACTGAACAACAACTTGTGTTATGCTCAACAACCGTCCAGGTATGGCGAATAAGCCAGAAACAAATATGTAAATAGCATGTTGGCAACGAGGGACTGGTAGTTATTAATAGTTATTTCGGTCTCTGCCAAAGTAAGATTGTTGTTTGCACGCAAGTTATGTGTTTGCTCGTTCCTATGTGTTATGAAAACAGTTAACAGATAACAGTTCATCTGTGTTTAGTGCCAAAGGTATGTTTTTAATGTTTCACATGATGTTCGAGAAAAACGAGAAAGTTCTAAGTTTGTGACTATTTCAAAGTTGAATGAGACCCATGTAATATTAGATGCGTTGTAGTTGTGCTTGACGAAAAAGGAGATAAATGTGGGTTTTTAATGACAGGCAAAGTTATTAGTAACCTAAAAATTTATTTATATACAAAACAACTGATTTATCTGTTTAAAAACAAATTATTGTGCAAATTAAAGTGCTAACATTACACAGTTAAATTTACTTTTTTGCAATGCTTATTTTAAATGTGTTGAATCATTTTGACGGCTGTTGCACTGACGATGAGTTGGAAGGTATATGCATAAGTAAAATGGAAATAAAAGAAGAAAGAATGCTACCAAAAGTAGAAGCATTATGAATTACATAACTAAGAGTAAAATGAATGATTTCTTACAACTAAAACATCACAGTTCATTCAACTTTTGCAAATCTTTTTTGTCGATGTCAAACTAAATTAAACTAACATAAGTCATTAAATTTATTACTGAAACGGTTAAATAACATGGCTCAATCCTTTTTAAAATACCATAAAGAAAGATTACAGACCTTTCCTCCAGTAACAGAAAAGTTTGCGAATATACAATACTTTTCATTCTTGTGGCCGGTATATGTTTTCAAACACTGTAAAAAGTTAATGATGAAGCTTTATCACTTAAAATTGAAGTATATATTACAAATATTACAAGATTTAATGTTTTGATGTTGAAACATCTATTTTATCAATAACTTCTTTTATAACTCAATGCTAAAAACATTTTAAGTTGAAATTAACCAAACTTTTTTCTCATATTTAACATCCAATGAACGGATCGTTTTTTCTATTTGAATTATAAACTTCACCTACTTCGCCTTTACACACACACACACACCACACACGCATATATATATATGATTTTCATCAATATATATATATATATATATATATATATATATATATATATGCCATAATTTAGACCATAATTTTTACAATATTCTATAAATTCTACTGAATGTTTGGCGTTAATATGTTTGTAGATCGTTTTTTCAATTTTTCTCACGAAAGTTTTTGGTGAACGTTTAGTTTATTAAAAATCAAAATAAACTCATTTTCCGAATTCATGCTGCAAATAAGGCCATATTTCGATTTCGAATGAATCACCATCAGTGCTTTTTGATGTTTATATAGGGAAATATTGACTTTGTCAAAATGAATTTAGATGGAGATTGACTTTGTCAAAGTGAATTT